CTTCTTTGAACACGCTCCAGGGCCTCAATGTCTTTCTTGCAGTGAGGGGCCCAGAACTGGACACAGTACTTAAGGTGCAGCCTCACCAGAGCTGAGTACAGGGGAACAATTACTTCCCTACTCCTGCTGGTCACGCTACTTTCTGTCACTGCTGCTGAAATGCACCACCCATCAACTCACCACAGAAACTCACCCATCAACTCACTGTGCTAACATTCACTGTTGGATCTCCATAAACACTCAGCAAGAGCCCATGAATGTCATTGGGTGCCATTTTTTCCACACAGAGGAGTTCAGTTACACTCATTGCTTCATACACACTTTCTTGCCAGATGCCATTTTGTCCAACTTCTGCTGTCTATCACACGGCAACAAAATTTAATGGAAAATTGATTAGAAGATTCAACTTCCACTGGCAAACCATCAACATCCAGCTCTCACATTGCGGGCCAACATAATATAATGGAAGGCATTACATTCAGACCAACCCTCTTATAGTGCTATCAGTATTTTGCTATCAGTCATAGCATAATGGTATCTTTTCACTTGTTTAAAATGCAAATAAAAAGCTAGAGAATTGTGTCTGGTAGGACAATGTAAGGGTTACAGTACTCTTTTACTCCTGAAGAATTTTTGACATTACCTCAGAAGAGCTTCTTAGCAAACACAGTATGTTTGATTACCTAAAATAACTAAGCTTTAGGTTTTATATTAGGTAATCCAAACCCAAATTATAGATGATTGTAAAGTCAGACCTCAATGCTGTTTTTGTATTGCACGGATAGAAGGCAGCCTGGTATTCTTCCAGCAAAGAAATAAGCTGTAACTTTACATATCTAACGTACCAATTTTATTTTAATTCCAGAATTCCCACATCTTTAACACTGTACTTATTCATGTAAAAGCTCACAGAGATTTGTCACTTAAATTTACTTTTCATTTTAAGGTAAATCTTGTGGACACAATTAGCATTCTTAGGCAGGGATGACTGCTTTATTACTTATTCCTATATTTTTAAATGGAAATCTGGACCATTGCTATGACTCGAGGACACCCACAATGCATTGAGAGATGAACTGACAGACTGGTAATAGTTATTATGACTTAATAGTATCTAACCAAACTCACAAGTCAGTTTCCATGTCATGATAAAAATAAATATTTAACACTTCCTGACTGACTTTGGAAATGTTGTCAATGTTGACAAGTACCAGAGTACCCGGTAATACGCAGTTTATTTTGTCATACACATGAAAGGAGAATCTAGAAGACAAATTCTGTGCATTAAAATGTATGAGAAAGAGTACTACTGCAGGTAAAGAAATTACATGCAGTTAAAATCTTGGCATTTGACAGGCTGGAGAATCAGACTTTGTGCGTCAGTCCTTTCATCCATCTTTCCCTAATATGACTCTCCAAACTCAATACTATACAATTTAATAACCCTTCTGTTAAGTACCACGGCAGCTCTGAGAACTGAGTCATTATTATTTGTATTCTGAAATAAGAATGTTTCCCACCTTAGTAAGACCAGAGAAAAAAATAATAAAAATTGATGTTCTGCTTGTGCTATAAGCAGTTAAAGAAAACAAACAAACAAACAAACAAAACCAAAAACAACAAAGTAAAAACTCATCCTTAACACCTTTATAAATTACAAGCATAAAAACTCTATTGGGCTGTATTGAACTAGCTTAATAGTACTATTACTAGCATAGGCCATGTGTTATTTTTCCTCTATCCACACTTTTCTGTTATATAAAAAAAACTCAATAAATAGGAAAAAATGTTACAGGATAAAGCGATTGTTGTGCCATACTAGGTAGTTTTCTATAGAATAAATTATTTAGCTACGTTGATTACTTTAGAATGTATTTCTTAGATTTCTCTCGGTATCATCACAATTAAGTTGAACAGCATTTTCAAAAAGAAAATAATAAACATGAAGTACAAAAATGTATGTCTTATTAATTTATGAATTTTCAGAGAGAGAAGGCGAATGGACAATGCCTGCATTTGTCTCAAATTCCCAGCTATTCTCATATGGGCAAAACATGTAAATGTAGATTTAGCAGTACACAGGTCCCAAATTAAAATTTACTTACCATGCTGTTTTGTTGTTGATTTTGATGTTATTTCTGTTGTTTTAAATTATTATATGGAAGTATGCAAGCAAAAGCTGAAATGATTCTACAACAACCAGAAAGCATACGTATCCAGTGTTGTCCTTTCCAAGCTTTCTGTATCCTACAGATGGCAGATATGGAAGCAGGAGTATTAACTGATATTTCCCCTTTATCAAAATGAAGCAGAGCATATCAGCATATATCATATATATTGTGTTGGCATAAACTTTGAAAAGTAGGTCTCATTTGGTATCACTGTGAACAGGAGGACCAGTTTGAAATATTCATCACTTCATTTCTCTTTTCACAGATTGATCACTACCCTCCAGCAACCTATAACCTGCCAGCAGCATCTGACATTCAGTTCAACTCCCCAAAGGCACTCTTCCTAGGAAAAGTCATAGGTAAGGTTTCATTTTATAATCAGTTAATTCATTAGGTATTTTCAGAGAACAGTAAAAATTATAAGGACCTGGGGCAATGATATGTGTAACTTCTGCAGCAGGACACTCGCTGGACATGTAACTGAGGTAACCCTCTGTACATTTTCCTCCCCTTTTTGAAACTCACCACCATTCCTCAGTACAGCATCTTCCGGACCAGCTCCCCAGATGAACTTGAGAGGCAATGCAGATCCATCTCAAACTGCGCTCATCTTCTTTTTAGGCCATCCTAATTTCCATTGTTCAGTTTCTCCACTACTGACCTTTTAAATAAATTTCCAGAATTACTCACTTCGGGATTCAATGATTCCCCCAACATTTGCAGCAATCAAGGTACATTTTTTCAGTTTTCAGGGAGAGAGGGTATTGATATTATTTCCTCTAAGTGCTTTGTAGGGTAATGTGGTTGTTTGAACTAAGTGAAGTGCTTAATTCAGAAAATTGCAGACTTTTAAGTTGTGTAAGACAGCAATCTGTGACCCCCGTGCACTATTTTTTGATGTGGAAAAGCAATTGACCTTGTAGCTAATGTGACTTTTCAAAGATAACACTTCTCCATTTGTTCTGCTTTTAAAATTTAATGCGTTACGTTCCTGTGAAATAGGAAATCAGAGGTCTTTAAAATGGTTGTATAGCAAAAGAGCTGTGAAGTAAAGAGCGGTGCTCTCAAAAGAGGTCAGCTCTGTAGAAAATAGAAAAAACTATGTGGTATGATTTTGTTGAGTAACTGGAAATTATCTGCATTTTCATCTCTGGATCAGGGCAGTCAGACCAAAGCTGTCTTCATCTTCAGCCAGGCTGCTCTTCCATTAATTCAAGCAGGTAGATGAAGGACTTCAGCTGACGCATCCAGCAACTGGAATAACTCTGCTGGAAAGAAAGAAAAAAAAAAAAAAAAAAGTTGACGCTTTCCTCACAGATAATTGTTAGCAAAAATATCAAGATAAAAATCTATTAATTTGCTTAATGTAATAGTTGTGACCATCTCATATAATGGAATCATTGTCAGAGAGGTTCTGTTTGATTTAAGATGTTCTTTGGAAAGATCTGTGTGCCTAAGAAACTACCACAGTATGGCAGTACTGCCTCCACAATTCAGTCTTCTAAATAACCTTAACAATGGTGAATCGTTGTTTGAATCCAGTAAAACTGGCTCTTTCCCTATTGAGTCAATGTTTTATAAGATGAGCATGGCGACAGGCGTACAAGAGGGAAAATACTTCTGTGAAAAATTTACATTGAAAGAGGGAAGGGAAAGAAAAGGACAACTCCTAAAACACAGTAGAAAACAACACACTGTGTAGTGTGAAGTGAAAAGAAAGAATGGAAAAAACACAAAACAAAAGAGAAAGTAGGAAACACTGAGTGTGCTAAACTTCAAATATGCTGACTGCAGAGTGAGTAGACAGAACTCCACAAGGAAAATCTTGTGGAGTTCAATGCTTTTGAATTGCTGAACCAGTAACACAGTCAGGCAACAACACAGATGCAACTGTGACACAGATTGCAGGTCTAGACTATTCTTTTTAAGCTGAATTTTTAACCTATTCACAGCACAACATGGCACACCTCCAAGCTGCCTCCAACATCACCCCATGTCCAAGTGCTGATTTCTTTGTTACATTTAAGTACTCTGGTTGGAAATTTTCTCTAGACGTTCTTGGAGAATAAAAGAGCTGCAAGAGCTGGGTGGCCCAGATGGGTCATGGCTCAACCTTTCTTATTTAGGCTACTTGTTTAAGTGTAGTTACTGAAAGGCTTGATAACCATTTCATAAATCCAAACAAAATGAATTATTGATTCAGTTCTGTTTCTACAGATGTAGACCCAAGACAGCTCACATTACTTGCTTATTTGCAAAAAGTTAATTATATGGTTGAAAATAGAGTTTCAAGAGTCCTATGACCGTTTCCGTTGGATCCTACTAAAGATGAAGTTTGGTAACAAAAGAACTTCATCCTGCTAATATCCAGAGCCTGATTGTAGGATTCACAGGGCTTTTTCAGAATAGAGAAATAAGGAAAAATAATAGTTAAGGCAAGTAAATATAATTTTATTTTAATAAAGGAAGTTTTAAATACCTTGAAACTCACACTTTATTTTCCTCTGACTCTTTATAAATATAGTACGTTGAAATTTGAAATTGAAAGAAAGTTCCAAATCTAACATTTGAAGGAGTAACCACTGTCCTGATAGTATTTGTCCTATAAGTGCATGGAATCATAGAATGGCTTGTAATGGAATACATGCAGCTGAAGGTTGTTTTTAGGAAACATTGCCACGGCAAATGCATCACCTTCAGCTCCTCTGCTAACTACGGGTCGGGAACAGGCAAAGGTCTTGCAATATCCTAATGGAATAAACTTATAAGTAGATTATATTCCTGTTTTCCTCTGCTTCTTTATGATCTTCAGCCTCACAAAACTGCATCTCTGTTTCATGTTTTCATCCACTTCCATTGTTATGAATTGTATTATTTGTTATATCCTACTATTTGTTATATCCTATCCTATTGTTGTATCCTATCCTATTTGTTGTATCCCACTATTCTCAGGATTTATTCCTTCATTTTTTAAATACTTATTTTTTCAAATTTGGGAATATGAGGAATTAAGATTATTCTGGTTAATCTTCTCTTCTTAATTCATAGTCTTCCACAGAATAGGATATTTTATTAAGTAAGAGCAAGTCTGTAGTGAAGAAACAAACCACCAACAAAAAATATATTCCTTTCAACATAGAATATTCATATTTATCTTCAGAAACGTGAATTTTCTGGTGTAATATTATCATGCAGCTGACCACCACTATTTATCAGCTTCACTATGCGACTTTCAGCGTAATGTTGAATGAGGGAAGAGCACAGTTAACACTGTCAATACTGTTGCAGCAGTTTGAAGGGCAAAGAAGATGCAGTATCTTTAAAGCTTCTAATTGTCACATCATATTGGCTACATGTATTCCAGTGGCACCAGTGGAGTTTCTGAATACATACACCAAGTTATAACTTGTGCCCATCTGCAACTACATTCTCTAAAAGTGCAATATGGCAGTAGTCTCATATTTCACTTCTAGCTTGGCACTGGTTGCATTCAGTTTCTGTTACTTCCCTAGTATGCAATTCTTTGGTGGCAAGGCCCTATATTATTAAGGAACTGACCTTCTGTTTGTCTTATTTCCATTTTTTTGTTAGGGTTATTTGCACAGGAGCAGCAGCTGTCATCTGCTGCCAATCAGTGATGATCACTTGTATAACACCTACGACTGTGACACCATTCTGCGTTAGGAGTTACAACATTATGGCTGATATAAAAATCATCATGAAATATTTCTGTGCCTCATAACTGTTTATAGTACTTTCTGTAAATCAGGAGAGTCAGGCTAGGAACAAAAATAAATGATTGAATTGCAGTAGTAATCAACGAGTATTTCTTCTTCTAGAAATTGAAGTATTTTCTGCTTTCCTGAAATAATTTTCAGAAAACGCAGTTGCTCACTAACCTTAAAAACAATGATAGAAAACATGTCCAATCTTCTGGAAACTCTAAAGGTTTTCAGTATGTCTAGCATTCTTACATGGGCAAAATGAATTTCTGATTTGAGGTACGAAATAAAGATGAAGGAGATAAATAATCAACAGTCTTGTTTTACATGAATGTGTAATAAAAGCACTAGAGAAACGCAAGATTTTGTAAATTAAACAGAAGGGAATTGTTAATGTTTCAAGGAAGGTGATTAATCTGCTATTTAAACATACTTAGGCTCTGATGGCTGATGCTAGTAATCAGGATGACAGCATTAAAGAGAAAAAAAGTTAACAATATGGCATGACGCACTGCGTGTCACAGTTCAGATCTGAACCTAAATTCCCAATTGTGCTGCAACTTGAGACTCAGTACTGAGTCAGCACAGAGCACAGGTTCACTTTTCCTTCTAAGTGCTGTGGTTTTGGACGCAATGCTTAGGTTTGTCTTCACATCCTTTTTTGAAGACCTACAGCAATTTCTGTTATATGAACTTTATATAGGGAGAACTGATGTCTCTACTGTATCATATAAATGAAGGAGGAGTACTGTTACAATTGGAAAGATTAATGCAGCAGAAGGGTGATACAGGAGTGAAACAGCTAAGGGACCAGTGTGGATAGGATGGTATTTCAAAGGAAAACTAAAAGTACTGATTCATTTCTAAAGATCTAGGCTCACAGTAAAGATTCCACAAGGGAGGGATCTCCAACCAGAGATCCTTCCATGGTGGCAGTCAGTCCTTAAAGGGGGGTATGGGGGTCTAAGAGAAGTGCAGCCAGGGTCCTGCCCCTTCGATCACACAGCTGAATTGCCTTCACCAGCACTTCCAGGGCTGAGCTGGTTCTTTTCCCCAGGTGATCAGTGAGGTTTAGTGGTTCAGGCTGTGACTCAACAGTTCCCATACAATTACTTCTTTAAGTTTTAATATACATTACTAAAGAACTAACTGCACAATTCAACATAATTTTGTAAAAGTACCATTCTGCTGAACAGAAATAGTTTGAGGGTTTCTTAACAGCACATTTTATTGAGCTCAGAAACGCTGCCATCAGACTGGATTTGCTGTTGAGAGTAGGGAAGCAAAGGTAATATGTGCCTTGTTTGCAGTCCATCTCCAAACCACTCCAAACCAAATGATACCATTTCAGAAACACATATTTGGAAACAATTAACATGGTATGTCTTCTCTAGTATGTACAGATTATCATTTCAGAACTTCAACTAGCACTGTAGACTCCATTAAACGCCTCTGGCTCACCCTATTGTTTCTCAGGTGCTTCCAGAAAGAATATTTAGAAAGAGAAAAAACTTTAGAGTCTGTAGTCCTGCTTCAAAGAGCGTCTGGCAATGCTCTTCAGTGGAAGAGAAATTCTGGAAATCAACTCAGGACTGTCTTTTCTCTGAGTAGGGATTGCTCAAAAAGAAGAGATAGAAGGCCTACTTACAGATGTGCTATTTCCTTGGTGTTTTGCACTGTTAGACATTTGCAGTATGTCTATTCAAGAACATTTACCATCTCCAAAAAGAGCATTTCAACAGCCTTGGAAAAAATATCTGTACAAGACCTGAACATTGTCATCATTGACAGTTTGAGTATGCTGCTTGATGTTTCCATAGTCTGATATGAAGCTAACATCAAACAAAGGAATAATTTACCCCAATTCCAGTTTAGAATTAGGTCTCTGATGCTGCAAGGTACTGTGCTCAGCACTTAAAATATAATTCAGAAATGTAAGTAGATTATGAATGTAATATAAAATCATGAATGTAACATAAAGGTATTCTTTTACTATACATCTTTGACATGTATCTACTTCTACCTCATGATCATAATGAGGTTACCAGTCATTATATGTACCAACAATGTGGCAGCAAGGGCTCCACAGCTTGAGTTGGCTCTGTGGTTCTTTATTTTGACAGATAATCTGAGTGCAAGGTAGTTTATCAGACTTTCACAGATAATGAGCAGAAAACAGCTAGCATGCAGTAAATTCATCCACTAACTTGCTTCAAAGTAACTCTGCCTACAACTTTATTTCTCATCGTCAGCATTAATGTTCAGTACTGTAAACTCAGAGAGAGTAAATATGAATATTGTCATATTAGGAAACTTTCTGATACAGTAGCAGCTGAATATTAAAGATATGCTTTCCTGTACATGCATTAATTATCACTCAAGGTACAATATCTGGTCATCTTCCCTTCTTGTCTACCAAGTGCTTCCACACTAACCCTGCATCAGCCTGGTTAAAACTCCTCTGGGATTTAATATTGCCTACCACTCTGGCCTCAAATCCATCTGTCTGTCCACACTGTACTCTTTGAAGTGTTTCTGGTAGTGACAGAAATGTTCCACAACTCTTCTAGTTAAAAAAGAACTAAAATAAAATTTACGTATTTTTTTCTTTCAGACCCTGATTTTTGATTTAACTGATTTTGCCAAGAAATTAGATCTGTAAGTTGTATGCAGAAAGGAACACCCCCCACCTACAAGCCTCTCATCAGAAAGGAGGCCATAAAAGCACTTAGAAATGCCAGTGCCTCCTCAATAATAGCTGTGGAAGAAATCAGGGCAGCTTTAGTGGATTTTATCTTTTGTTTAAGAACTGGAATGAAGTGGAGTAAAACCAAGAGTTTTTTGTTTACTTGCACTGCAACTTCTCTCAATTTTTCAGTATCTTGTAGTATTCAGCTGCTGCTCCTTCTCCAGATGGCTGCTCCAAAGAAGTAGAATGGCAGACCACAAAAAAGCTGGATTGGGTGTAGCACAATTGGGTGCTACGGTAATTGCTGGTGTCTTGAGTATAGCCAGCTCTGCTCTTCAAAAACTTAAGTAGAGCTTGGTGCATCACCTCAACTTGTCCTCTCCCACCAATTCCTCAGGTCATTTCATCTCTCAGCCTCTCCTGTACTTTGTAGTTGGTGGCTGCCCTTGCACTTCCTTATTGCAGTATTCTTTGTAGAAAGACTTCACTGACTATTGGTCCTCAGATCTTCTGTGGAGATTTCACACCTCCAAAGGTTCATCTGCCTTTTATATTTCATGCCATTCTAGCATTCATACCAGTGTGTGATTGGGTGTCAGAGTCTCACTGTTCTTATAATTTGCTCTTTTTTTCCTTTAAGCTTTAAGATTTCTCTGAAAATTGTTCTTTATATGTCACTCTGCAAAAATTTGTAGACAGTATTCTCATTGCTCTTCCATTCTATGCAAAGTGTATATATGTTGGTCATGAAAAAAATAAAATAGAGGAGGAGACTGTAAATATACAGTTTACGCCATTTTGAAGAGGCATAAGTCTTATCTGACATTCAAAACTATGTGATAACAACATTGAAAAGTAATTGAATTTTTTAAAAAATAATAATAAACTTCAGTAATTAAAATGATCTTTTCCCAACTTCTGCATTTCATTATGGTGGCATGTCTTTGCCATAGAATTTTTCTATATTATAGGAAGAGAGAAATCTTTTCACCTTTACTGGGTTGTATATAGTTCTATTCTATTTCAAATATATCTGTTCCAAAAGGTCAGAGAGGGAAAATGAACAAACTGAGATCTCCTAGGATTAATGAAATCTGCTGCTGGTCCTATAAAATTACAATAGCATAGACAGTGGAAACAGAGATGTGAGAGCACCTTGGTTTGTGCATCATAAAACAGTGTTAGGCAGTCTGGAAATAGAAATAGAAAGTATACCTGAACTGGAAAGAAACCACATTACAATTTTTCTCCAAATGTACTTCGAGGAAAAAATAAAAATCAAAATAGATCTCTACTAAGATAATAGGAAGACAGAATTGACCAAAATAAAAAGAAATAATAAAAATGAAAAATAAAAAAATAAAAATAAAAACAAAAAAAAAAAAAGAGAAAGAAGAAAAAAATCATCACCATGTCAGGGCATGATTCTTTAGATTTTACATCATTTCACCTAACATGTCCAATCTCTGCCTCTCTTTTCAGTATCAGAAAAATTCCCTCTGTTCAAGGTTTAGTAAAATAAAGTAAATATTCTCAAACAGTATTAAGTAATGGATAAATGTGAAGAGACAATCTTCTTATAGGTACTTTATATTGAAGTAGTAATTCCTAGGCTAAATTATTCACTGTGAATAATTTGCTCAAATCCCATCATCACAAATAAAATGGAAAGAAATATGTTATTGGAAATAATTTCACATTTTCCCATTAAGACCTTTGACTGTAGGTTATTTTATATTTCTTATAAAAGATATGCTCTCATTAGTTGAATTACAGAACCACCAGCCTAATTATGGCTTTTAGATATTACCATCCAAAAAATTTTCAAGCTACACACTTGCTATTTACATAAACACTTTCTGATAGAAGAATTAACATATTCTTCATCTGCATATTTCAGGGAACAGCTAAAACACAATTAAATGCCACCGAGAAGAAATTAATTCAAAAGATTGCTTGTTCCATTTTGAATGGCTTTTGTCATGTCCGTGCTGTAGATAACAACGTGTATCACGGTTACAAAAGTGATCTAGCTTAAAACTTGCCAGAGCACTATAGTCTTGGCAATACTCAGCATGGGTTCATTGACCCTTTTTATTTGCCTGGTGTAGTGGAATTCCAAGGTCACAGCCTGAACAAATACGTGACTGCCTGGAACAGGGGGGGGCTAAAGCCACCCTTTTTGTCTCAGTGATGCTTCAGGGAGCACATGTGCAATCTGAGTCTG